AGTGGAAGGCAAGTGTTTGATGGCACTAATGTTGGAAGGATCCGGACTACGGCCATCCTTATCGATGATTTGACGGTTAACTATTGATCGGAGCCTCGAGATCACTGGCCCCCACAGAAAAAATACCGGTTTGGACGAGCAGAGGGGAAGCGGCGTGTATTGGCTGATCACACCAATATAAAGGTAAATGGAACACTCGTGAACGGTTTATAAAACTCATGTGGAAACATCTAGAAGAGTAAACGTACGACCAACCAAGCATTGCCGCTTTCGTGCGAATTCGCCAGTTCACCCAGTTGGCTACATGTTCGTCCAATCCATGCGAGAGAGTGACGGCTTACCAGCCATGCTTTGGCTCCGTACTGGCGATCGGCGCCTCGGCTGCTGGTATAGAGATTTCCTTCCTAACACAATCACCTCATCTGATGAGAATGAATTGTTCAACATGCCACTATCCGGAGTTTCACCGCCGAGTAACCGGAAATGCTTAATGGTTAAGACGATTTCGAAAGGTGGTGACCCCAGCAAAGTGGACAACTACAAGGCGAATTGTTTGATACCTATTTTGGCCAAGGTTGCAGAGAAGAACGTGAAAAAGGGTCTACTACAGCCGTCCCAATCAAAAGATAGACTGACGCCCGCGCAGCACGGTTTCATGCTAGGCCGCTAATGCATTAGCAAACTGCTGTCTACGAGGTATGAATAATTACAAGCAGTGAACTAGAGGAAGTCTGTCGACAAAATGTGCATCGATTCCAGTAAATCGTTTGGGAAGGTAGACAATGAGGATCTCCTCCACAATCTGAGGGTGTGCAGTGCTGGTCGATCACTGCTTTAATGGATCCAGGGCGATCTCGTTGGGCGAAAGTGGAGGGCACAGGTAGACGCCCATCTAACTGACTGGTATCCCTCTACAAGTGGCGTACTCCAAGGCACGGTACTGGAGCCCACTCTGTTCCTAATCCATATCAACGATCTCCCTCAGTTTCTTCGGTCGCTGTGTGCCCTGTTTGCAGGCAACCTAAAGATCAAGAGAGTAATTAGCACCCCAGACGACTGTGGTCTACTTTAGCAAGACCTCATCCGCCAAACCATGTGGTCCGCGGAAGTCCGCCTCTCAGTTAACCTATCCAACTCGGTATTCATGAGCCAGAGGCAAGGTAGTGACGGCCGAATTTACACCATTGACGGCCAACCACTACATCCCACCTTCCGTGAAGGACCTAGGTGTACTCGCGCGCTGCGATTTGAAGTTCGGTGCTAACACGAACAGGTTATATCATAACGGAATGCGCATGTTTCAGGCGCTCAAACGCAGTTTTTGTACTTGCGCTGAAGAGGTCGCCACCTGAGGCGAGGTACAGAAGATCGAGCGGGTCTAACACGTCGCTACCAGGCTCATTCCATGATTACGATGATAACCGTACGTAGACCGGTGCGAGAAACTAAGACTCTACACATTGTCCTATCGTCGGGTGCGAGTCAATCTCACTATGACCAACTACAAATTACATCTCGGTGAGTTCCCCATGTTGAGGCCACTACTCCACTTGCGAACGCCATGCAACACACGCGGAAGTAGATACCAGCTTGTGGTGTTGGATATAAAACGATTGCCCTACTTTCTGAGCTATGAATGGGGAGTGGTAAATGCTTAGAATAGTTTGGCAGAACAAGTCGTGAAGGCCAAATCTGTGTAGCAGTCAAAAATGTTGCTGGATTTACATTCCATCATCATTCGATTCAGAGAACGGTTGCACATTAGCAGTAACATCCTAAATTTGTAAGCCCGGTAAAACCCTAAGACAGCCATTATAAAGCGCTACATAAGAATTGAGGAACGATTGGATTATCGCGGATAGCAGATACTTATTATAAAATTTTTGATTTTATTGGGGTGGACTTGTACGAATTTAAATTTCTACTTGCTCCCGAAGAAAGCACTGCATTTCGAGGGTCAAAGCACAGCCCGAAACGGCTAACAGCCCATGTAATATGTCCAGTGTGGTTTGGCACCATGTAAACTGTCACATTTTATAGCAAGATCGTCAGGATACTCCAAGTCAAGAAGTCGGTCACCAGAAAACAGCGGGTATGCTTGTCTTACACCTTTTGGGATATTGAAGGGTGGCGATCGTCTGCGACCAGAGTGATCTGAGGTAAACAGCTACTTTATTGAGGTACCGGAAGGACAATTACCAAGTCGCACATGAGGAACTTCAGTAGTGCTCGGTACTCAAACCAGACATGAGCAGGCGGCAATGATCAAACACGATCAGTCTTCGAACGTCCCCGGTATGCAGCGGCTAAACTCACAAGTCATAGAGTACCACTGGCCGTATCAAACAATGAAACAACAAAAGCAGTACATCAGCCGTTTGAACTTATGCTACGCTGCTACACAAACATGAGGATCTATGAAATAATAATAAGAGGGAGAGAAGGAGGGACTTACCGGAAAACCTTAATGCCCTAAGCAAACATTCAGGATTAAGGCGTCTACAGGTTGTGTAGACAACATACCGCCACAAACCGCTGGCTATCGTGCAAAGATAAGGCGGCATCGGCGAGACATCTTTCTTGCGGATTTCGCTGCTCCGCGTCATAATCGCCTATTAAATCGCAGATAACTCAGCAACAAACCCACTTCAAACAGGTAGGCTGACTAGGAGACAGTAGCAGACACGCCACCGGTGTCGGCTGCGAGCAATGTCCTGTAAAGTCTCGAGCCAAACACAAGACGAGTTACGTGGGCTCCAGCCTGAAAGGCGAGTAGGGGCCGACAGCACCCAGTTTGATCGTCAGTGACTTCATTTCCTGCTGCCAAGTCAACTTTTGTCCACCTATAACCCTGAGCTACCCTACCTCTGGCAAAAAATACGAAACCCTCTTGGGTAAGCGGTGACCAGGAAAACGTAGCAAGTACCCAAGCCAACAGAACTTATTCAGTGCGATCTGTTGTTCCAAAGTACTAACTTGGGTATCACTGCCTGGCATTCGCCTATCCACATCATCGTTGCAGACGAGCTGGTGCCATCCGACACAAACAATGCTTTGCAGACAGTGATGATCAAAGACTTAAACGCGCCTCAGATCTTTAGACCGAAGGGGCCAAGTCTCACTACCATAGGGCAGGAAGGCCCTCACTGTGACGTGGTATACACGACCTTTCAGACGGAGGAAAACTCCCTTCTGTCGCCAAAGACCGTAGGTTCCAGAAGACAATTCTGGCTTTTGCAATGCATGAACTGTCTTCTGTTACTACGCGACCATCGTTGCTGATGCAGCTGCCAAGGTAAGTGAATCGATCAACCACCTCGAGTTCCACGTTAGCAAGCGTCAAGGGGTTAGCAATTGGCTGGTGGTCCTGCAGAAACACTGCACTTTGAAAGTGCGAAGCTCATACCAAATAATGAGACAGCTCTAGAGAGACTATTTATGGTTGATTGCGCCGCCCCAAAATCGTCAAAAAGCAAGATAATATCGTTCGCATAATCAAGATCAACTAACCTCCAACTAGACAGGAACTCAACGCCTTTTTCGGATGCAGTCGAATCGCCTGATTGGGTCAAATTGTGATAAGACTACTTGGGATACAATAGGTTCTCAACAACTACTCGATATCTAATTAGCCCATAATCGGAGTTGAGAGAGTACACGGCACGATGACGGAGCTTTGGCGCATTTCTCCCGAAACAATCTCAGTGGTTGTTAAGCAACGGCGTATTACTCGTAGATTGCAAGGGATCACGATGCTAAGAGGTGCACAACTGCATTAATACTCATCAGATCAAAGCATTTATAGCACCTAAAAGGTAGATCTGTTGTTCATAGCACTGACAAATTGAACATAGATGGGAATTGCCGATGAAACCCAAGAGAAATAATGTAAGGACAACGGCGGACAAATGTATCTTTTTGCTAGTATGTGAGAGCTGACGGTGTATTTAGCAGCAGTGTGCAGTCTGTCTTTCTGATGGCAGCTGACTGAATAGAATGATCAAATAGCATAAAATCGATGGGCCCACGCACTTAGAACTGAAAATGGTAAAAACTGAATGACTATGATAGAAATCCGTGAGATAAGCACACGTGACGTCAGCATCTTTGGCTGCTAGGTGGTGTCTGGTAAGAATGAGCCCTGGGAACACATAAACAGTAAACCCGGCAAGCACGGTCATGGTAGCACGACTTAGAAAAATCAACTGACCGCAATACACAAACAGGTGTTCCGTTAACGTCAATGTTTGCAACCTACTAAACTCCAGCGGACATGGAAGGATTGATGTTTACTAGTCCGTCAGTGCGACAGACATCTCTTCATCACCAAATGAGTTTAAAATGGGAACAAAGTGACGTCTTGGCAGAATAAGTATGGATTGAATGTTTTCAGAGTGATTCCGCAATCGTGGTGAGATGGCGAAGATACGAAAACCCAATGAAGAACACAGTACGTGCACGATTACGAAGTTAAACTAGTGAAAGTGTAAGGTGGCATCTGAGGGAAGACTACCGAGGTATAAATAAGAATTGCTACAAAAACGCACACAAAACGGCTGGTCTTAGATACGGGGCTACTTCCAGCTCGCTCAGCCTTTTGATCAGATTCGGTAAATCTGAGGCGGCGAGGGGTGACTACCGATAGTGGTATAAACGAAATAATGATAGAGCAGTAGAGGATCAGAAGCATCAAAATGAATTCAATAACAGAGCAATAGTAACCATGGTATTCTGGGTGACAAGTGGTTCAAATCGAAGCTTGGAAACTAATAGGAGCAAAAAACGAAACTGGTCCACTTGTGGGTCAGGATAAGGCCAGCAGTGTCACCGATGTATGCGCGGCCAACAACTGGTGATGGCGTAAGAAAAGTGTCCTAGAAACGGTACTCGGAGTTGCTTTTCGGAACAAATGCAGTGTAAATACTCCTAGACTGCCGTCTTTGTCTGTGAAAAAAGACCAAACAAAAATGAACGAAGTGCAATGAGCGGAAAGAACATACGGTCATCTGAAACCATCGGTTTGGGGCCATCGCTCACGCTAAGTTCGCGGTCTTCTCTATTCTTTTTGACTTCGGGAATGGTTTTTTCAAAAATGTCACGATGACGAAGTTCCCGATGACGCTGCTTGGTGCTGTTCAACATTTTCTCCACTTTTTTAGAGAAAATCTGTAGCGCATAGTGCAAATGGAAGTGATAAAAGATATAGGACAGTAAAAAGTGATTCGCTCGAGTATTCACTGCTGGTGACCACAGTAGAACAATCATGTTGCTATATATCAACATTCGCCATAAATCGGGTCCGAAGTCGAAGATAAAGAGCGTCGGGAAGATCACAATTCTAGTGTGACCGTTTGGCCTAAACCATAGAAAAAAGCCAAGAAGATGAGAGGTAGAGTAGTTCTAGCGTGATCACTCAAGTTAGTAAGATAACGTTTGATTGTCAACGTCGGAAAGTTGCAGGTTTTGTAGCTCGAGTATAGCCTACAGCCCTGCAACTACCAAACGCTTCGTGCGAGTGAGATGGTTACCGCTGGATAAGCAAGTATGAGTTGTTGCCGCCACGCAATAATAGTTGAGGGAAGACAGCCAATGAGCAAAACAGCTGCTATCCTAAAGTGCTTACTAGTATTAAATGTGAAGTTGAAGCTGACCAATTTTTGAAACCTAGGTGGAACAGATTTCAATCAACAAGACACACTGGAGGAGCTGGTGTGTTGAGATAAGGAAAAAGATGGATTGCAAAAACAAAAGGTTAGAACAATCGGGGAAGCAGGTCTAATGGAAAACCCTCACGTCAGTGGATAAATTGTCAGGGAAACAATCCGTAAAATGAGATTTGTGCAGCATTCTTTAGTGGCATCTCTGAAAAGGAAACGTGGGGGAAAGCCATAGATATTATTCTGAACACCCACAGCGGTCGGTAGTACATCAAAAGGCCACGAAGATGGGAGTTCGGTGTTAAGATCACCTGGATGCGGTGCAGAGTGGAACGACGATGTGCAAGCAGAATACTGACATTGCACTTAGGTGTATGGTTACTGGTTCACGTAAGGAAATAGGATGGCAACCTTGTTTGCTAAATTAGTTACCTGCGCTGTGGACCACACTGCAGCAGTGAGCAGACCGTAGAAAAGCATGCAGGTGATCTAAAGCAGCAACATAAAACTGTGACTAGTTCGAGTGTTCCCCAGAGAACATTCGATTGGTGGGCAAAAAACGGGGATAAGAAACTGATTCCCGCCAACTACGGTTGGGCACCTGAACGAATGGATGCACAATGATAATTCAATGAGAGTAAGAGAGTAAACTGTCAGAAAGTAATTACTAATCGATTTTGGGGAAGATGTACCGTGGAATGATGTGCATATTGTTCGGCCAGATACTGCAAGCGAGCTTGTTCTGCCTTGCGGCGACGTCGCAGATAGCGCATTAGTTTTGGACGGAAATTCTGACGGAAATCAGCACGGATGGCACACAAATACGGCAAATCAGACGGTTGTCTGTATAGTGGTAGTGCGAATGGAAATGCTTTGACGTGTGGACCGCAAAGCCGGGTGAAAATTAAATGATGCTGTCGGGTGCGTTGACGGTTTTCAGAAATGAAGGCCTGCAAATAGTAAATGAGCAATCTGGATGGGAATTTTCTACACAAAGCAGTTTTATAAAAGATAAATTATAAAATATACATGGTGTCATCCAGTCTAATTCACAACGAAACATGAAAAACCAAAAACGATGATGAATTGCTCTAAACAAGAAGTAACAAGGCAAATTGCTAATATTAAAGTAGAACAATATGTACTGTTCACAGCCCTAGAAAGCAAGGGTCCGCTACATAGTGGCTGATAAAAATAGGGTGTAAACCAGTGCAATAAAGGACGCGAACGGCCCAATAAATGCAAATCTGGAATTCCAGACATATGTACAGCTTGGCAGCAAGAAACGCATCTACCAACTTGCCGCCAGTGTAAAACAACAAGTGCTAGGCTCCTTCGATATCCAGTGGAAAAAGTAAAAAGTAAATACCAATCGATTAACCACTCTTCGGTATCGCGCTGCTGCTGGACAAAATCAACCAGTACTTAGAACCTATACGCTACGGTTAGGCGGAAAGAGAACAGATGAATGGAGACTAGAGTACCTGTATGGGGTTCTCGTATGTCCGTTCTAGGTCACTGATGAGGTCGATGGTAGGAGACGGCTCCACTGATGGTGATTGTCGGAGATCAGACGTAGTAGCGTTCGAGTCTAGCGACTCGGTCAGAGATCCGGTGGAAGCAAGTCGGCTGGCCAACCGAGCTTCGCGCTTCTCTAGAAGGCGCTCAAGTCCAACTTGCTTTTGCAGGTCACTTTCAACAATGTCCAACTGACGCAGTAGCTCCTCGCCTTCACGATGGAACTTGGCATCCTGTGCATCCGTGAGACGTGACTCCTCTGGTGCCGGTGAAATAGCCTCCACTTGAGGATGATATGCAGGTTCCTTTGTCTGTTGTCGAAGGACACCGCTGCCCTGAGGTAGAGTTCCATGTCCTAGAACCTGATGTGTTGCGGCGCTCTGAGCAGTGGCATGTGCTGCAGTGTGAAAACCATGTTGTCCTGAATGGGCTCCAAGATGGTGTGGATGATTCAAATGACCCGAAGGCAAGCGGGATGGCATCGGTGGTACGCCTGTGGAATGAGTCATTTTGTTGGTCAAGTGCATCGATCCAGAAAGGCCTGAACTCTGCTGAGATCCCATAGATGACTGGACACTGTGGATCGGTGGCGTTGGTGCAGTAGTGTGAGAATATCCGACTCGTCCTGTGTTCGAGATGGGTCCGGGGAGTAACTGATTGGTGTAAGCCTGAGTTAACATGTGTTGTTCCTGTTGTTGTTGTTGTTGCTGCTGCTGCTGCTGCTGTTGCTGAAGGTTATGTGGCACGGAGGGGTTGTTGGAGGTAGTACTAGGAGGTCGTTGGTGGTGCATAGGAAAATGACCAGGGAAGGTACTCGGGCTGCAAACAGACGAGGAAGCACCGGATGCGCTAGAGGCTGAAAGGGCTGTGTTGCTGTTCATAGCAGCCGTAAACAGGGGAGAGAGTGCAGCAGCGACAGCAGCCGCTTCGCCAGCGGACCCGTAGGCTGTGGGATTGAGAAAATTACTGCACGAGTTGAGACTAGCCATAGCTTTGTTAGCGACAACTGCGCTCATTAGAGCCTCCATTCCGCCGGGTAACGAGGTGCTAACAATGTGGTTGCCAGCAGACAGGGGCGGTAGACCATGGTGTGCAAACTGATGTGGCATCGGTTGCTGCTGGTGGTGGTGATGATGGTGGTGAGATGGAGAAGGCGGTAGTTGGGTACTGGTTGTAAGACGAGGGCGCTTGTTCGGATGAGCGCCGATCGGAGCCAACTGAGGACGACGACCCTGCAAATACGAGGGGACGAGAATGTGCACGATAATCAAATTGGCGGAAGGAAAATCATCCATCCCACTTGATACATTTACATGAGCAGTTGGAAGTAATATGAAAATGCAAAAACTGTGAATGAGGCCCAGATCGAGGTGATGAGAGGGAACAGTCACGTCAGCAGAGTATCTGAGAGGAAGTGCGAAAAAGCAGTACTCCAAGCTGCATCGCGGGGTCAATTAGTAAGATATGTAGAAAACAAGGTACAAAGAGACAGTGACTACCCTCCTCCCCAAAACATTCGAGTTATACAGCGGTAACCATTATCGCCTGTGAAGTCGGTTTGCGATATAACATCCGTAGAAAGCTAGTCAGAAAAAAAACGAGACAATGGTTGATCAGCTTATACGACCAGACTCAATATATACTAAAAAATAGTGGTCGATATGCTCATGTTGAGATGTGTGGACACAATCGTCACAGTATGCTGGGAAGTGAGTCGGAAGATCGGTAAGATAACCGGAATCGATAGGTTCGATAAGGGCCCACAAATATCAATGAATAAAGTACAAGGTACAACGGTACGCCATAAAGTAGATGAGCAACCATCATGTGTTTGGTTAAACTAGTCCCTTGTTGCAAAACAATGCAAATGTACCAACTGACAAACTCGGGAAAAAAAGGACGGATGACCGGTATCTGTTATACGACAACGATCCAAAACCCATCTGCAACCGCTTACAAGCAGTCTAATCTCAAATTATGGCCCTGCTAGAGGGAGATTATGAATCTGCACACATTTCTACCTAAAAAGAATCTAAACACCTAAGAAGGAAACTAATAAGTGCTAGCATTTCCTATATATATATATATATATATATATATATATATATATATATATATATAAGCACAATTACAGCATCCTGCCTCTGCGACCCTAAAGCGCGTACAAACCAGCGCTCCAGTTTCGTTTTGACAGGATACACAGCCCTTTGGAAAACGTTATCTGAGCCCATTAAATGCTGTGGCAACAAAAATACATCCCGTGCTCAAATTGTCAAATACCTTAGTGTAAAAGTGGTATTGTGTATATTGGTCGAAATCGCATCAACAGACAGTATGTAAGAGAAACACCCAAGAGAACTTGGAGTACCAAAGCCCATTATAAACCAAGTTCAGGAAATGTTGATGGCACTCTTGATCAGGTAGCAAAGCTTATTGAACGTTGATACATTCATTACCTTTGAATCTATACTCGCCCCAAGTCTATTTTAACAACCGTTTACTCTGACACTTGACAAAAAAATGTATTCCAGCTAAATCGCAAATAGACCACTGCATGGAGCAACAGTTTGTGACTCAGGCTCATTTCTACTTCACTCAATCTAATCGTGACCCTCAATACTACCACGTAGCTTGTACCCGACTTGAAAGCTTACCAGTCGCTAGTGGAAGCATGGGTAGACTGACAGTTTAGAAAACCATTTCCTAATTAGGGGCTGTTATTGACACTTTGACCGTCATCACCTTATATTTGATTAAACTGGCTCAAAATCTTGTCATGTGTCAGTGTGACCCTTGCCACCACAGGTAGATGAACTTCTAGAACTTTCTGACCACCATTATACTTTACCCGGGCCACAACTACGTAAATTCTATATTCCCTAGCTCCAAGAACCACCATACGTCAATGAAAGCACTGGCACTGAGGTGGGTTGGAAAATTAGCTCCCGCTATTTAGAATCTTTGCTTTTCCTAGCTTTTGCCACTAGCTGTTCGTTTTGCCTGGCGTGATAGAACAGCACTTACCAGCGCACCCATGGCAGGTGAGACATATAACCCTATTCCAGTGCTGTTGTTACTCTACATTTGCCGCAAGCTTCATCTAGTGTTGGCAACTTTCGCAGACTTTGAAAATACCAGAAGTGGCTAAAACGGACGGGAAATGAAGGACTAGAATTCGCAAAGCAAATGGCATCATTCTAGAATAGCCGCAGAACCTAACTATTTAGAGCCATACTCATCAAGGTAGCAGATATGTTGCCTTTTATCCTTCATCGTTTTTATTAGCTTATTATCAGCCCAGAATATTTGTATCTCGATGGTGCACTGGACTCATCCGAGCCACTACATACAACAAGTCCATTTTGTTACATTTTGCCGTATTCGTCTGAGTCCCTTTGGAAATGCCCATATAATACTGCGGCTACGCTCATAGTCACGGAACAGTATAGAATTTATAGCTGTTACCTTTGAAAAACCGAGTATGACACATTACATCCAGTTGAAAGCTATATGCGTGTGTAAACACGTAGTTGCTAGCAGTTAAGCAAAGTTGCGATCACATTCCGTTTATGTTTCCAGTGGAATAATCGCTTTTTGCTGTCTGGCGCTGCGTTACATTGTATCTACTGGACTGCATATTTTCATTTAGAATTTATAACACACATTCTTTGTTTTATGTATCCAAAAAAGCAGTTCTAGCGAAAGTGCCAAAACTCCGTGCTATTTGTAGTCATCTTTAAACTCGCACAATACTGCATATTTAACAATGAGTTTTGCTCTAATTACATTGTGTTGGCAACTAAGTTCCTGCCGCTGTTTTAAAAATGTTACATTCCGCATGTCATTAAATATTTTTGGCATAATGTTGAAGCCCATTAGAAAGAGGATGTTTTGTTCTATTTTATATTTTTGTCCGAGTTAATTTATGTTAATTTTTAGATCATTAAAATGGAAAGACAAATTGAGAAAAAAGAGCATTTTCGACACCTCCTGCATGCTTTTTATCAAGGTTCTAAGGTCACAAAAGCTGCTGGCGACATTTGTCTTGTGCATGAAGAGGGTACCAGAGCTCAAAGAACTGATTGATTGGTATGCCAAGTACGAAAATGGAAATGTTGACCTCAAAGACGCATCACGTTCTGGGTGTCCAGTGGAGTTCGATGAAGAGCGATTAAACCAAGTTTAGTACGAAACTTCGCCTCAAAACGACAAGGGAACTAGCAGAGAAAATCGAGTGCTCACACACATGTATAGAGAGAATCATCTTTACTCGATGAGAAAGGCTCAGAAGTATAACGCATGGGTATCGCATGCTTTACGTGATAATAACAAAAATTAACGAACCACAATATCCGCTGGTTTGCTTGCTCGTCACTGCTCAATTCATGGATACAATCAACCCATTCTTGACCGACTCGTTACAGGCGACGAAAACTGGTGCCTGTACATCAATATGAAGCAGTACGAGGAATGGCTTAACACCGGTACACAAGCAACACCGCGAGTGAAACAAAATGCGCATCCGCGTACGCACAACGATGTTGTGCGTATGATGGGACAGGGAAGGGATAATCCATTATGAACTGCTTGAACGGAATGGAGCTGTCAACGTGGAAGCCTATGTTCAACAGATGGAAACACTCAACACGGATAATCAAGAGAAAAGACCTAATGGGCAGTATGGAATTCTGTTGCTCCACAACAACGCCCGACCTCATATCGTCAATATGACCAAGGAAGCCATACAAACGCATGGCTGGGAAGTGTTGTCACACCCATCGTACTCTCGCAATTTGCAACCAACGGAATTCTGCCTCTTTCGATCTTATTCGAATGACATGCGTGGAATTTCGTTCAATACTGATGCAGAATTGAGAGCATGGTTGGATGAACCTTTCTAGTCTAAATCAGGTGATTTCTAGGAACGAGGTATTGAAAGACTAGTTGAACATTGGGAAGAAGTTATACACAACAAGAGAGAACACATTACTGAGGAATTAGTTGTAAAATTTTATTGAAAAATAAAGTTAAAAAAATCAAAAAATGGTGGGAACTTAGTTGCCAACCTAATAGCGTTAGGCGCTTTTTGCAACCGACTTGTCTTGTTTTTCACTACAGAGGTTTTCAATGCAGCACCGTATGTATGGGTCATCAAAGTCCCATATTGACGGAATGTATAAGGAATACTTTCAAAAGTATATTTACTATGAGTGGATTTTTCCTTGACTTAGCTTTCCGATATTTTATGTATCCATCAACAATCGTTTTAAAACCTGCTTTTATCTATCCTGATGCTATAATTCCGTATTCCATTCCGTAGGTCTATTATTAATTGGACCTACTGGGTGTAATGTTAATGGACCATGGATTTAAGTATGTGCGGAAAAGTGAACATTCGCATTTACCTGTTGTCCTAGGAGAGGGTTGAAAGTTTCTTCTTCATGCTAGTCCCGATAAAACTCCTAAGCTTCATTTCCTTCTCGCGAGGCGCGAGTATGAAATTCTTGTGCATAACAATGCTCTGCCACTATGAGTGCACAACTGTGGGAATAAAGTGGTTTTCCATCCTGCACCTATCCGGATGGGGTTGCCTGGCATATTACACCTCCTCAGGTTGCATCGGATGATAATACCAGAAAACAGGCACTCTACTGGGAAAAAACTTAATGGTTCTAGATGCAACTATCTGCTGCTCTCCTTAACTCACCTCTACTGTTTTGTGAGTAAGTCGCCGGCTCAGTGCCATGATGTCGGTAAAGTCACGGTACACAACCGTTCAAATCAGAAAGCATACCGGTCAAGCGAGTGATTGCTCTCGCATCGATGTGTGTGGCATCCTTCGTACTGCCCTAATTTTCCTCCATCGACTTTGATTCCATCGGGTGTCAGCATATGCCACTGAAAAATCATCTTGCCTAACTAAAGCACACTTTCCCTGTGCCTAAGTTTATGTTCTTTTGGACACGTGACAATAAATAGTGAAAAGTGAGGTTGTGTTATGAAGCAGCGCATCATCTTTCACACACGTAACATAGCTTAGAACCTCGACCCCTTGCAGTAACTGTCGGGGTAAAATTCCAATCGACACTTTTAAATGAAACTATAAAAGTAGCACACAAATGCAGCCGAAAAGCCGGGCGAAAGCAACTCAAATCCCAAGTGTGGGGTTAGACGACATCGTCCGATCTCCGACCTGCGCCCCAGATACCCGCCGTTTAAGCGATATTATTCC